TCCGTATATATATATAGCTTCCTCTTGCTCTCGTGTCCGCCAGCCGCGATGCCGGTGCTCGAGACGTCGGATACGAGGCGCTTCTGGTCTCTCGCTGAGCCGCCTCGACCAAGGCTCACCACTCGAGCAGACCGGCCCTCTTCTCTGCCTCAGCCCGTCTGAAATCTGCGTCTTCGAGCTGCTGCTCGCTCCAGGGCTGTTTCTGCGGGCGGCCTTCCTTGCTCCAGAAAAAATTCCCACCCGGCGGCCTCCCTTGCAGCCTCCACCGTCAAGTTCGACATCGCCATCGCCATCGCCTAAAAAAAAAAACAACAACACCAACCGCCCCAGCTGCGTCTTTCTCCCTCCAGCCGGCCATGGACGGCGGCCTCGACACTCGCTCCAGACTCAGACTCAAGACTCAGACTCAGATTCAGACGCCGCTGACCGTCGTCGACCGACCGACTCTCCTCCCTTCGCGGCCTGAACGAACCAATGTCCCAGCGGCGCCGCTGTCTCTGGTGTGGCCATGATCACACAGCGTGGCTCCAGGAGGCCCTCTGCAGACACCCGCACGGCTAGCCAGGCGGCGGCGGCGGCATCTCCATCTCCATCTCCATCTCCAGCTTCGTCCGCCTCCTCTGTCTCCTCCTCGCCGTCGCCGTCGCTGTCTCCCGCCGTGCGGAAGGGTGCGTCGTCTGCCCGCCTTCGACCCCTTCGACAGCACCAGCACCAGCAGCACCAGCAGCAGTACCAAAACTCACCGGTTGGCCTGCGGAAGGCCTCCTATGCGGCCTCGTTCACGGAGTCTCCTACACAGATACAGCCCGCAGACGGGGCGGGTCGTGGCCATGGCTCGCCTGCTGCTACAGCTCCCGCTTCAGGTTCGGCGTCAGGAGGCCAGCCGTACCAGCAGCATCACCAGCACCAGCACCAGCACCAGCACCAGCACCAGCAACAACGCTTCTACCAGCGGCCCTACTCGCCCCAGCCGCGACTGAAGCCGTCTCCATCCATGCCCAATGTCCGGCAGCAGAAGAGCTACTCGCCGTTTCAGGCGGACAAGCCCTCCCCCAGACCGTCTCCCATGGCCCTCTCGCCAAGTCGGCCAAACAACCACCGCTACTACACGCCGGAGCTGCACTTTGATATCCCGCCGCCCTCGCGGACCAGCCTGCAGTCCGCCATGACCGTGGCCTCCAGCGTGGAGCAGACCAGCGGCACGGAGAGGAGCAGCGTCGTCACCAAGACCAGCTCGACCACGGAGCTGTCTCCCAAGATCTCAGAGGAGGACGTCCAGGGGGGGAAACAGGGAGACCACCGCGGCCAGGAGGACCAGTTGCAGCACAACAGCCAGGAGGAGGGCCAGGGTACACTCGGCTATGGCGATATGAGTGTCGACGATGCTATAGATATGTACCTGGACGGCTTTGCAGACGACCCGTCTCCCGGCTCGCCTGCTAAGCGGAAGTCCGCTGCTCTCGTCCGGGCCCTGCTCAGCACTGGTGCCGGCGATGATGATGATAATAATATTATTATTAAACCCGCCAGCACGCCCCCAGACACCCCCGAACCAGAGTCACTGACGCCGGGTAACTTCAACTCCGCAGACTTCAACTTCGACTTTGCTCCTAGCCAGCCTGCTGGTGATAAAAGCCCTTCGCCGCGGCCCCAGACAGCTCTCCCTTCGCCCTCTGCCTCTCCTCCTCCTCCTCCTCCTCCCGATACTGCCGCTGCTGCTACTACTACTACTGCTGCTACTACTTCAACAGACATGCAGCCCCCGCAGAAACAGCTACAACCACCCTTCATCGACTTGTCCATCAGCTCTGAGCCGCCGCCGCTGCTCAAGCCGACCAAGACCCGAGACCAATATGGCTTTCGAAAAGCAACCACCCACGTGACCATCGAGCAGTACGACTCCTGGTATCAATCCTATGCCGAATACCAGAAGATCCGGAGCGAGAAGTGGTATGCGCTGCTCAAGGCGAGCGGCATCGACGAGGCGGTGCCCACGACGTTCCCCATCCGGTCTGCAAAGCTGAAAAAGTACATCCGCAAGGGCATCCCGCCAGAGTGCCGTGGAGCGGCCTGGTTCTGGTACGCCGGCGGATACGACTACATACGGCGCAACCCGGGCCTGTACAGACGCCTCGTCGAGACGGCCCTCCGCAGCCCCATGAACGACGACAAGGAACACATTGAGCGGGATCTCCATCGAACGTTCCCAGACAACGTCCACTACAAGCCAGATTCCTCCGAGGACGCCGGCGCCTCTAGCGGCAGTGGCAGCAGCAATCTCAAACACAGCTCTTCTTCGCCAGACACCCCGATCATCCAGTCTCTTCGCCGTGTACTATATGCATTTTCCCTACATAATTCTAATATCGGATATACCCAGTCGCTCAACTTCATCGCCGGATTCCTCATCCTCTTCTTGCCCGAGGAAAAGGCCTTCTGGCTCCTCCACATCATCACCTCCTCCTTCTTCCCGGGCACACACGAAATCAGCCTCGAAGGCGCCAACGCAGACCTCTGGATCCTCATGGTCGCCCTCAAGGAATCCCTCCCCTCCGTCTACACAAAAGTCGTCAGCACAGCCCCTACAACCTCCAGATCAAAACCCCCCAACCTAAGTACCGCCACCCGGCTGCCGGATATCACCCTGGGCCTCACAAACTGGCTCATGTCCATGTTCATCAGCACTCTGCCCTTCGAAACAACCCTACGCGTCTGGGACGTGTTATTCTACGAGGGCTCCCGTACTTTCTTCCGCGTTGCCCTCTCCATCTTCCGCATGAACCAGAAACAAATCGTCTCCCTCGGCGATCCCATGGAGATCTTCCAGGTCGTCCAGACCGCCCCCAAGCGGATGATCGACCCCAACGAGCTCATGATGGACTGTTTCGCTCGCCGCTTCAAACTGTCCCAGGCTCGTGTGGAGACCCTACGCCAGGCTCGAAGAGCCGCTATCCGAGAGGGCAAGGATCGGCTATCTCAATTGGCTGGACCAAGGAAGTTCAAGACCGATCCCAGCGGCAGGCCGAGTACGGGTGCCAACAGCTCTTCCCCCAGCGCATGGAGGAGCTTCAAAAGCTTCAAACAGTGAATCCGATATTCCATCGTTCGCGTCAATCGTTTCTTGTCCGATTCTTTTTCTTCTTCTTTTTTTTTATCTCTTTACTTCCCGTTTGTCCTGTTCTCTTCTACTGTCTACCTCTTTGTCTCCAGCCCTCCCTCCATTGGCTTGGATACCTACATACCTACATACCCTCTTTTTACTTCTTGCATATGCATACATATTCCTCTCTTGATTGATGATCATCATGGTACCGGCGTTATTCTTCTCGTTTACTGTCCCGCATCCATCAGCCTTTGTCGTCTTCGCCTTAGCCGTGCTATCTCTTTTATGTCCGTTCTACAGCCTGCTGCGTTGCTTGCCTGCCTGCCTGCCAAAAAAAAACTCTGTCTTTTTATACATACGTACTGCATGCATCCATAGAACTACCTACGTCTGCTCACCTACAGACCAGACTACCTAGTAGGTACAAGTAAATAGAGCCATCAAAACAAACCCCAGACTGGCTACAGCACTCTAACTGAGCTAGAGTGTATGTAGCATCTGATGAAAATAACAAACCTCCTATATAAATAAACCACCAGCAATCAATTGAATCGTTGGATAAAATCATTTCATTCAAAGTAGCCGTCAGCCGTTAAAATCTATATATATTTAGACAAAATACACTCGTTGAAAAAGAAGTCTATAAAACCACCCGCCGAGAAACACTCCATTTTTAACCATGCCCTGCCTCCGGTACACCGTTCACTTAAACATCCTTTTTTTAAAACCATTCAACTAACCCTTCTTACCACTTACACACTGCGTGAGACTAACAAGCGTCCAGGCCACGCCCTTCACACAAGCAGTAAGACACCACATTATAAGTGAGAAGAACCAGAATAACGCCCGCAGCGCAGCCCGGGTTGGCCCAGGTAACTTCTCCCCTGCACGCGGTGTCCCATCCGCATACCGTCCGTACCGCTCAACGTCAATCTCCTCAACCACCAGAGTGGGCTTCCTTTTCTTTTTCTGCTGCTCCTGCTGCTGCTGTTTTGTTGTTGTCGTGGTGTCATGTCCACCACCTCCCTGCTGCCGTTGCTGCTGCTGCTTGACTGCGTTGGAGGATCTGCCGATTCCAGCTTCAAGGTCTATCTCCTCGACTTCAGGCTGCCTTTTCCAAGGCCATTTCCAGGATGATACCGACTGGTTCCTTTTCGGTTTCCTTTGGTTTCGCCTAACCTGCGCCATCAACTCCGCTTCTTGTTCGTATTCTTCGCGCTCAGCTTGGGTCGTGAAGATTTGTTTGCCGGTGGGTGTAAAGTATCGACGTTCTTCCTCAATACAAGCAGGCTTGTTATTGGGAGTGGAGGTGGATGTCGATATGGGATTGGAATGCTCGTTAGCGCTGCCATTGCTGTTGGTAGGGGTATGATTTGCAAGAACAGAGGCTGGGCTTGGTGTTGGAGGCCGGTACGGGTCAGGGAATTCCTCTGGCTTGGGGGCATAGATGTCGATGCTTTCGAGAACCTGCTTGGTGGTTTCGTTGGAGACGGTTACGGTGAGAATGGCTGCGACTAGGGTATCGATGCTGTGCAGGGATGGGACCGCCGAAAGAATATCGTTTGAAAAGATAGTAAGAGTCATGTGCTCTAAATCCACGGCTGCCAACGGTGTATCAGTTCCCCTCGAGGATGACCCGCTGTTAGAAACTGACACGACAACGGTAGGGCCATATGATGGGCCGCCGAATGGAGGCAGCGAGTTCGATACCGATGCATTAAGGAGACATGTAGGCACGCTTGACCGCGCTGATTGAGGGCGGCTTCCGGGAGTAGCTGGTGAGGAGTTCATCATCGCCTGGTAGTGTAGTTTATAGCGTGATTGGGCATCCTGCCACTCAAAGAGGCAAGTCTCCTTTGCTTTCACCTGGCTCACTGCAGCACTCTCGGCTTCCATGGCTTGTACAGGGGATAGCTTATTTTGTCTTGCCAACTCTAATGACTGCTCCCTTGCTAGGATCTCTGCCAGTTTCGGGAAAATTGGAATGGTGGTGCTGCTGCGGTTTTGGATGTGGTCAAGATTGAGGGTTACAACCGGAGATTTGGTGTTCGGTTTGGTTGGGTGAGTCTTGTGAAGTTCAAAATCACTGATTGTGTCAGTCTTCAGTGTGTAGAAAGCCACAGATCCAGCACCGATATTATACGTGAACGAATCAATCCTATGTCGTTGTTAGTTTTGGGCTGGATATCCCATGAAAAATACCAGACGAGGCCTACCTTCGGATGTTCAGATGAAAAGTGCCGGCATCAGATCCAGAGCTTTCACCACACGTGGCATTCCATAGCCTTTCAAGGGATTCCACTGGCGCGATCATGGGCCCGTCGACGGATGTAAATGAACTGGGGCATGCAGAAGTAGACGGGGGAGAAAGAGATCCATAGTCTGCTCGAGACGGTGCTTGGTCTGAACTACTTCTAGGTGATCCTGCATTCGGATAATATCTCTGTTGGCTCAGAGGCAGGTCAGGATCATATCGAGGAAATATAGATCTCATCGGAGGCGGTGGAGGTGGAGGAAGAGGCGATGAATTGTCCTGTCCTGGCGAATTGCCAACATCACGGGGTTCACCCTCCGAAGTCGAAGGTGATGACCATCCTCCCGGGGTTGAATCGCCCTGGGAGTTTGTAGAACTGACAGTCTTCGCCCTTTTACGTGACGAGGAAGTCGTCGACTTGGATCTGTTAGGGGTAGATGACCGGGGAGGAGGAAAGACAGCAAACTTGTGCTGAGAGTTCCCATTTAGCCGCGGGACTGGTGGAGGTGACTGGCTGTCTACCGACTTTGGCATGCTTGATCTCGACATAGATGACGGCGACGGAGATACCCTTCTGTGAGGCTGTGGAAAGACAAAAATCTTATCTTCTCTGGATGCCGTGTTATTTGGATAATTTGGCTCCGTACGTGCCTGTTGAGATGGTATAATACTATTTGTGTCTTCGATTATCCGCAAAATCACAGCTTCAGTTTGACCGCCAACTTTTGTATCCTCGAGAACAGGAGACATTCGAGGAGATTTTGTCCTTCGAGGGCGGTGTGCACGCATAGAAGCATTGATGTTGCCGTTGCCGCTGCTCCTGTTGATGCTGCTCTGCCCGGTTTTGTTCGACGACTGCATGGCGGGAGACAATTGGAATTGTCCCTCAGGAGAATCAGGCATCTGATGTGTAATAATAAAAAAAAAGACGGTCAGGCCAACGGACGTCAGTTAACAGGAATACTGGCCGGGTATGCGATGCACGAAGCACATTCAGCAGGATTTTCGGTGAGCAAAAGAAACAGGGAAAATCAGAGACGGGAGAAACAAAGCAGTTTCTCTCTCTTTCAGCTATGAAAGAGAAGAGGAAGGAAGAAAAAAGTGAGCCCCCGCATTGTGAAAACGGCGGATCACATATTATCTATCGTACAGGGCACAAAAATGAACCCCCGGATGACGGGATATGGCCAACCAGAACGATCAACGAAGGCGGTGCGACGGTTTACCGCTGGGCCTTTTTAGCACCACACCATGAAAAATTCCCACCAGTCCCTTATTTTGTTCCCCCACGCCACACATCAAAGTCTCTGTCTGGAAGAATCTTGTTGCATTCTTCCAGTGTTAGCGAGGACGCCCATTTCAGGAAGGAATCGATGGATCGGCTGAATCACCGTGCATGAAACCTTTCCAGATGTGTGCTGGGTTGTCAAGATTGGCATCTTCCGATTCGCTCTGCACAGAGACGGGATGGGTAGCCGCCGTACTTATTGGCAGGCTGTGGTGCAGAAGATGTGACCAGTCCATCGATTGGCGGGGGCCCCCTGCATCCCCGTCACGAACCAGGCGCTTGGAGAGGACAGGGGATCGGCGCGACCAATGCGGTGCTTGGAGGGCACTAGAAGAACTAGTGTAGCCCTTCTAACAAGCAAACAGCGCCCTTCACGTCTGCTTATTGGAGTCGTAATTATAGCACCTCGCCCCGGCGAACCTCCTGTCGTCGTTGTCGAGAGCAACATGCGGTCGGATGTTTTGCTTTTTTTATATTGAGGCTTTGATGAGCCAAAAGGGAAAGACCCACTTAGTTAAAAACGGGCATCAAAATTAGGCTTATCACGTGAGAAGGGGTCCCCCCCCTGGGCCCGGCGGTTGCAGGGACGCAAGAGAGGACCACAGGCATCATCATCACCTGGCTGGGGTGTGATTTCGTTTCTTCAGGGCATGGTTGGTGTGGCCGGTAGCAGGGAGGCTGGGTGCGTAACCGCCCGCAGGGCCATGGGATCCTGGATTTGTTCATGCGGTGCGGAGGTGTGGCACGGGGGGGGGGTCGTACTGAGTATTTATATTTCTAGTTTCTAGTATGGTACACGTGAAGGGGGAGCTTCTATGCAGCGTCACGGCTGACCAGGCCTTCTATCATCGAGATAGCGCCCTCCATGTTTCCCTTGTTATACAGGAACAGGCCTTGGAGAGCGGCGGCGCTAGTTCCCATAGCCCGGTCTCGCTTCCGGCCATCTTCGTCCTCAATAATACCAAGCGCCGCGAGCCGGTCAAGGAACTCCTTCTTGTACGCGCTAGACTCGTCGAGGTCGCCGTAGAATCGATCCCAGAGCTGAGACACTTGGTATCTGGTGGCTTCGCCAAGACGAACGGTCATGTCCACTCGGCCGGGCCGCACTAGAGCTTCGTCCAGCCTGTCGACGTGGTTAGTGGTGAGGAAAATAATTCGTTCCTCCGCACTAGCAACCCCGTCGAGCGCATTGAGTAAACCGGAGAAGGTGACGTTCGCACCCCGGTATCCATCTTCGTCGGACTGTACGCGCCGTGAGCTAAAGGCCGCATCCACATCTTCAAGTAGGACCAGGGTCCGTGCCGGGATGATGGTAAGCAGGTGATTCAATCGATCGTCCGTCAGGCCTCTCTCACTAAGGTTGAGGACCGCGATATCGTAGTCTAGCTCTCCAGCCAGTGCTTGGATGAAAGAGCTCTTGCCGGTACCCGGGGGGCCGTGGAG